CTTCGCTATTGAAAGGTACAATTGACTTTGGCTTGTTCTATTCAGTTTCTAATGATTACAAGCTTGTTGGATATAGCGACAGTGATTGGGGTGGAGACATAGATAATCGAAGGAGCACTACTGGATTCGTATTTTTCATGGGAGATATTGCGTTCACATGGATGTCAAAGAAACAACCGATTGTCACATTGTCTACTTGTGAAGCGGAATATGTTGCTGCTACCTCATGTGTTTGTCATGCAATTTGGCTTAGAAATCTATTGAAGGAGATTGGTTTGATACAAGAAGAGCCTACCAAGGTTTGTGTCGACAACAAGTCAGCCATTGCCTTAGCGAAGAATCCAGTATTCCATGATCGAAGCAAGCACATTGATATTCGCTATCACTATATAAGGGAATGTGTTGCAAGAAAAGATGTGGAAGTTGAATACGTGAAGTCAAAAGATCAAGTTGCTGATATTTTTACCAAGCCACTGACCAGCGAAGACTTCTTAAGATTAAGGAACCTACTAGGGGTCACGAGATCAAGTTTAAGGGGGGGTGTTGGATCATAAACTTGATCCATTATGGGAGCCTAAACCCAAACCCAAACTAAATTGATGTCATTACTTACATCATTTAATTAAAGATGTCATTGCTTACATCATTTAAGTAATGATGTCATTGCTTACATCAATTTAGTTATGTGAGAGTTAGATATTTGTTGAATTTGTAATGGTTTAAATTAGTTTATTTATGTGGTGTAAGATTGTTCTTGAGTAGTATAAATACCCCTTCCCATTTTAGTTTTAAGCATCAAGAAAAATTAAGAGCTTCTAAGTGAGTGAAAAAGCAAAGTCTTATAAGAGTGAGTTGTAGTTCTTGTTTTTGAGTGAGAGTGCTCTTGTAATATTTGTTTGAGTTTAAATAAAAGTTGTTTGTGTGAGTGTTTTATTTTCAACATGATACAATCTTCTGGAAAGGCAACATGCGGTGCCGTCATACAAGACGAGAGAGGAAACTGGAAAACGGGATTTGCCAGGATTATATGCATCTGCTCCATCTTACAGGCAGAATTATGGGGAATTTGGGATGGTCGTCAGCGCGCTTGGGAAACAGGAGAACGACGAGTAATCCTTGAGACAGACAACAGAAATGCAGTTCAACTCCTCAAAGATGATAATTTGAACGGAGAATAACGACGATTGATTTTAATTATTCGATCTCAATTCTCATATAAGTGGAACATCAGACTGGAATATATACCGAGAGAAGCAAACCGTATAGCAGATTCCCTTGCCAAATATGCACATACACTTTCTATCGAACTGCATGAGCTAAGTCAGCCCCCGGTGGACGCAAAGCTGATGGTAGAAGAAGAAGCTTTGATACCGAGTCTTAGGTAGTCTTTAGTTAGTATCTTGAGATAAAATTACAAAGAATCAAATTAAATCTAGCCATGAATAATTTTTATTTCAATTTTCAATGAAATAGTTAAAATCCTAAGCTCGTGTGTTAGCCAATTTTAAAATTGTATTTAAATTTTCATTAAATTTTAAATTGTGAACTTTCAAATTCAAATCCTAGGATAAAGCTAAAAAGAACTATGAGAAAAATATATTTGATAAATAATTTTAGAGTAAACTATGCATTTAGTACCTAAACTATCAGTCTTTATCCGTTTTAATACCTAAACTTTCAACTTTTTTCAAAACCACAGCTAACAGTTATTTGTTGTTTCACTTCAGTACCTCAAAAAAACTTAACGCGTTTAGTAATTAAATTATCAGTTTTTGTCCATTTTAATACATAAAATTCCATTTCCCCCCCAAAAATTAACGTTAAATTTTGAACATGGGGTACTAAAATGAAATAAAAATCAAACTTTATGTATGATTTTGAAAAAATTAAAAGTTTAAGTGTTAAAACGAGTCAAATTTGATAGTTTAGGTACTAAACGAGTAATTTAACCATAATTTTATTTTAAATAATAGACATTTAGCATAATAGAATGAGAAATTAAATTCTTTAAATAAGGTCAAGAATTTTAATCTTAACGTTTGTAAATAAAATAAATTAGGTTGTGAGGGTTTGCTCTTGCAATGACCTCTACAAAACCTAATATCCATAATAGGCAATCAATAAGTTAAATACCAACTAAAAAATTATTTTAATTTTTAATAAAATAATTAAGTTAAAACCCAAGCTCATAAATTAATCAACTTGATAAAAAAATTATTGCTTTGATTTTGTATATAGTTTTTAAAGTGATCATGAACTGTTCGTAAAAATGACAAAAATAAATAATCCTACTACGTGTAAATTATATCAAAGTAATTATTTTCTTCTTGTCTTTACTTGGTTCAAAACAATGTGCTTAGTCGGTAAAAGTTATATATAAAATGAAGAAAAAAATTGAGTTAAAACATAAATATGCAGAAGATTATATTTTAGGAGAGAAATTCATTTAATCACTTAATTAAATCTTGAAGTTAAAAATGTAGATTTTAGGATTTGAATTTGGATCTTGAAATTTTAATTTATTGCTATAACTTATATATATATATATATATGATATTTGAGTTAATATGACAGGAAAAAAAAGTTCAATGGGTTAAATTAAATAAAATGAAAGTTTAAGATCTAAAATAACTAAACTGATAAAATTGAGGGGCCAAAAAGCTAATTCTGTGAAATAAATATTAATCCTAACGGTCAAGCAGTCAAGTGACGGGTTCCCACAGATTCAAAGGTAGAGAGTTGAGTTGTCAAAACTCAAACATGAATGGTGATCAACAAAAATAGACTAAACTTTAATTACTGAGAATCTGGCGTTAGCTCATTCGAGTTTCAGGATTCTCTCTCTCTCTCTCTTTTCATGTCAAAGTCTAAAAGAATTAATGCTTATTATGTATTCTTGTTTGTCTTTTAGGCCAATACTGGATTCTGAGTTTGATAATTTCCCTGTATAATTCCCCAGTTTCAACAAGGAAAAACAAAAACAAATGGCTTCATTATCTTCTCTTGAACTGAACCTGAGTCTTAAACCATCTTATGTGCCTAAAACCATAGCAAATCTGCTCAAAGATCTCTCCAACGTCCAGAACGCAGTAGATAAGTTAGTAGTTTTGAATGATTATATCACTGATCTTGAAGGAGAATTGAGCGGCATCTCCGCCTTCAAACGTCAACTTCCTCACTGCATGCTGCTTTTAATGGAGGGTGAGAAAGAAATCTTTTTTTAAAGTTTTGATTTCATTTTTTTTCTCCGGATTTTTCCAGAAATGTTATGATTGATTTTTAGTTTTTTTCCCTTTTTGTTGAAGCACTTGGGAGTTTGAAAGAGGAGTTTATGAAGATCAACAGCGGGATGGGACCTGAAAATGAAGGGCCGTTAATGGAGTTCTTGGCGATGAAGAAGAAATCTTATGAAGGAAAACAAGTAGACGTGTCTTCTCAGGATAATCAAAACTGTGATTTCATAGGAAAGGGTTTGATGAGTTCATCTCCTCACCTCCTATGGAACACTAAGCAGCACAAAGCATTCCAAGACTTTATTCGGGTAGTAATTGCCCCCATACATTACTTAAATCATTTCAGATTTTAATTGTTCTTTTTAATCTGTTTTTTTAAATGAAACCATGAGTTGAAGAAGACGATATAGATAATAACCATGAGTTGAAGAAGACGTGTTTTCTATGCCTCATTCTTTTAATATAACCTTTTAAAGATAACCCTATTTGTACAGAGCAACCAATATAAATCTGGCATTCATGTATGAGAATCTTTTTATAAAAAAAATGTTTAATTAATCGTGTGTAGGCTTCTTATGAGAACCCCAATCCTTTCGAGCCAAGCAGCAGCAGATTTGCAAGTGTTAATGGAACCACAAACGTCAACGGCGCGGGTGGCTTGAACCCGAGGACTGGTGATGGAACCCTAAGTTATAACCCAAAGCCACCGGCTCAACCTAACGGGAAGAACAACAGGCGATCTTGGTCGCACCAGCTTCATGCAAGGTTTCTGGAGGCTTTGCGTATCATTGGAGGCGTTGATGGTACGTACAACTGAAATTCATCAGTCTCTAATTTTATGGACATTAATATTTACTTTTTATTACCAAATTAGTATGTAAATTTAAGAAATCGTCAACTATTAATTTGTTTGATATTGCTATTGTTATAACTTATAAAATATGAATTTAAATATATTAAAGTACATACTATATTTCTTAATTTATGAATAAATTCCCTTTTTGGACAGTGGCGACTCCTAAGCAGATCAGAGAGGTCATGCAAGTTGAGGGCCTCACCAATGATCAAGTAAAGAGCCACCTTCAGGTTGGTTAATTTCTGATCCTAATTCTTAATATATATACAATAAATAATTGGAGGTGAATTGATAAAAATATTATATATAAATTTAATATTCATAATTCATATGTTTAATTTTAAAGTAATAGTTTTTAATTATTTTATTTAAAAATTATATAAAAGTATGAAGAATAAAAATAATTTTATAATAACATTGATGATCATTATAAAAGCAATGTTTTTTTCCTTCTTTTTTTAATATATTTATAAGCAATGTTTAGATGAACAAAAGAACAACATAACGGGGTTGTTGATTTATGTGTTTTGGTTTCAGAAATATCGACTTCACTGCCGGAGGGTGCCGGAAAATAAGGCACAAGGGTCGGGCAATTACCAAGATCCATGGGCACCCCCAAATATATTACGGCGACCCTTTAAGCAGGAAGGATCGTTCAGCCTCGGCTGCAGAAAATCTTAAAAAGAGAGAATCTTAGTATGCTTTTTGTTAATTAATATTTTGGAGAAGTGAAAAAACTTTATGTGCGTTAAGGATACTTGAAAATGCTTATCAAACAATGTGATGTGAACTTTTTTGCAGTTTTTGTTAAGGGTTGCTGACAATAAGCTTAATAGCATGCCCACAATTATAACTGAAATCCTGGTTCTGAATGTTGCAGGATTGAATTTATTGTAGTACAATAATTATATGTGACGGGGATTGTTATTGGGAATTGGCGTTGAAGGGCAAATTACATAAATATGTAAGTAATTCTTGGATATGAGAAATACTTTTGGAGGATTATACATGGCGGAATACTAGTATTGGGTCAAGGAGAATATTTCGCTGGGGGGACTCCAGGGAAGGGAGGTATAGGAGGGAGTGGTGGGAGTGGTGGGAGAGGAACTGGGAAGTCTGGGGACGGTGATGATGGTGGTGATGGTGGAGTTAGTACTGGAATTGGCGGCAAAGATGGTGTTAGCGGTGCTGGAGGAGGCTCAAGTGGGTTTGGAATCTCCGGAGCTGGCGGCGGCAGAAGTGGGTTTGGAGGAAGAACGGGCGGCAGAAAGGGGGTTGGAGGAAGGACGGGCGGCGGAAGAAAGGGGGTTGGAGGAAGGACGGGCGGCGGAAGAAAGGGGGTTGGAGGAAGAAAGGGGGTTGGGGGAAGAACGGGCGGCGAAGAAGGGGTTGGGGAAGAACGGGCGGCGGCAGAACGGGGTTCGGAGGAAGAAAGGGGTTGGAGGAAGAACGGCGGCAGAACAGGGTTCGGAGGAAAAAGGGGTTGGAGGAAGAACGGGCGGCGGCAGAAAGGGGGGAGAACGGGGTTCGGAGGAAGAATGGGCGGCGGCAGAACGGGGTTCGGAGGAAGAAAAGGGGTTGGAGGAAGAACGGGCGGCGGAAGAAGCTGGTCCGGATGAAGCGATGATTGAGGCTTGCTTTTGAGTTGTTTGAGGTTATCAACACTGGGTTTCTGGTTACACAAGAAGGGTTGTTTGAACGGCTTGAAGGAGAAAAACCCAGCTGAGAAAACATGGGTCCCTTGCTTCCTCGACCTGAGATGGAGTGAAGACGAAGTTGCAGACGAAGCCACCGCACAATACGGTTCACTGCTTTTAACCAGTTTCACCTCACACCCTTCTATTTTCTCCACATGTTTGCGCACAGAAAACGGCAAACGAACTCTGAACTCTCCACGCTTATTAGTTTTCACTCGTTGCCCAAAGCTCCGCCTTGAACTCTTCCCATCTCTACATTCCACTGCAACAGTTGCGCCTGCAGACAAAACGAAACACTCGTATAAATCAAGAAGAAACTTTGTGAGACTCAAATGTAATGATTAAATTTAAGACCTGAAATGAAATGGGTGACACTTGGAAGAGCCTGGTGGAAACAAGTGTCACAGTACACAGTTCCAGCGACAACTGCAGATTCATGTCTACCCTCAGAGAAACCATCAAAGAAGAAGAAACAGAACAACAATGTGAAGAGAAACCCAGACATTTTTTCAACTCTGTTATTCCTTCCTTCCAGCTGGAAAACCTTTTGTTTATAGAAACTGTGTTCGATATTTTGTAGGTTTTTTCAGGCTGTCCAACTTAAAAGCGGTTCTTTATGTGATTCATGCAAAACACCAACCAACTGCGTTAAGTTAGGTTTATTTCTCACAATCAAAACAGCTCAAAAGGGGGAGAGGTAATATGTATAAATGAATTGAATGATTTTGTTCCTCTGTAGGCAATGGTGACAGCTTCCTTTTCGCCTTTGGTTTTGCGTTTATAGGCCGAGGTCCCCATGCAGGTTCACGAGAGCGTTTCGAGTAGCCACAATATAAGTCCGCGTGTCACCTCTAAGCCTTTGGCGTCGACTTGAAAACGACGCTGTCGGAACACAGCCGATCACTCTACGCTGTAGGGCGGTAGTAGCTCGGTGATCTTGAGGTGCAAAGAAGAGAGAAATGGCCGTCAAAACGGTTAAATATTAAGGCCTTGTTTAGTAGTTGAAAGAAAATCAAGTCCGGTAAAATATATTCTTCCTTTTATTTGTTTGATGAAATGAAAGAAAAATGACTTTTCAAGTTTGGGTTTCTCGATTAAAATCTTTTGTTTTTTTTGGGGGGGGGGGGTTCACGGGTGTGAAGAAAGTTCGAGTGCTTTCGAAAAATGTTCGTTTTTGTCCCGTTGGATTGTCTATTAGTGGGATAAGAAGAGAGAACATGTGTTCCTCATTCTCTCATAGTTGTCGACATTGTATTTGTCACCATTACAATTGTGGTAAAAAGAAGAATTCGGCGAAATCCACTTCGTCTTTGTTGATGGCCACTACAAATGCTCCGATATTTACATAAAAAAATTACTTACTATTTACATAAAATTATTATATCAACCATTGTAAACGTAAAGTCGTTGTCAAATATGAAAAGAACGTATCTAAAATATTAATGCATGGCCTACAATATTAATACGTACGAGATTATGGACAAATACGATGAGCGATATCGTTAAACACGCGATTTCCAACATCGGTACCGACGTTTATCAATTTTTCTATATTATCATTTTGTCTTAAAAGTCTCAATCTTAGCTCCGTCATCAGATACTGCCGACTGGCGGTGGAGATATAAATGCTACCCCAACTTTTCTACTGGCACGGTGAGATTGAAAACAAAGTGTAATATCATATAATCGGACAAGATCAACCAATGGCGGTGGGATTGGAAAGTGCTATCGGTGGCGGGAGTTATGTGGTGCTGATTGGCCAAATAGTTGGGGCCATAGCGATGGTGTCGATGGTGGTCGCTGCCTGTGTCCAGAAAAAAGAACCTGAGATCAAGCTCTCCTTCAATCTCTGTGGTGGTGGCGACGGTGGTAGTGACGACGACAGTGACGACGTTGCTGGCTGCCTCGGTGTCTAGCTAACATCGTATCTGCGCATTAGTTATGTGGTTTATATTGTGTGTACTCTGAATAAATTCACTACCTCAACTTGGTCATTAAAGTTGATAGTTATTTTCAGTCAGAAAGTTAGAAGTTCGTTGAATTTATACATGCTTTCTAAAAAGTGAAATGCAACATTGGTTTAGGGTAAATCAAACTATTAGTTTGATCCGTTTTAATATTTAAACTTTTATTATTTTTTAAAATCATATTTAATGTTTAGTTTTTGTTTCATTATAGTACCCGTTTTAAAAAAAATTAAAAGTTAGATACTAAAATTAATCAAAATTGATAATTTAGGTACTAAAGGCGTTAAATTTTTAACGACGAATACTAAAATGAAACAAAAATTAAAAATTAGGTATAATTTTTTAAAAAAATAAAAGTTTAAGTTTTAAAATAGACCAAACCTAATAATTTAAGTACCAAACACATAATTTACCATAAAGTAAATTATCTTATTAATTATTAAATTATAATCCGATATGAATTTAATATGCGATACATATCCTCATTCTTCTCTCAGTTTTATTTTTTTTAAACAAATTACACCATAAAATTTTCAAAACAAATCAAATCAAGATAAATTATAAATTATAAAATTCACGTAATATCAAACTCTCTATTTTAATACAAGAGATTCCGTATCCACCCCAGATCTCAATTTTATTTCTTTATCACACACGTCACTATAAAATTTTTAAATTTGATCAAAATAAAATTTAAATTACAAAATCTTAACAAATAACAACAATAATAACTCAAACATGTCATGCGTAAATATTGTAGACACTCATTTTCATTTAAAATTGGGCTTTTTTATTATTTATTTATTTTATTATAAGTATATATATATATAGTAATATAGTATAATTTTTGAAAATGTTTTTGAAAAATATAATATATAGTTTTCAAAAAACGATTTCCGAAAATATTTATATTATATAGTTTTTTAAAATGTTCTTGAAAGCTTATATACAATATATAAGTTTTAAAGCATTTTGAAAGTTATATAATATATAGTTTTGATCATTTTGAAAATATAATGTATAGTTTTAAAAAAATATTTTTGGAAAATTTATATAATATATAGTTTAAAAAAACATTTTGGAAAACTTATATAATATTTTTAAAAACTCATTTTTGAAAACTATCTTACCTCCCCCTTACCCCATACATATGGGAAAAAGGGACAGTCATTTTATATATTATATAGTCTATATTATATATTATTATTATTTTTTATTATTATTTCATTTCATTTTATTCATTTTAATTTATTTCGTTTTTTGTTTCAGGTCCAATGTTTAGGTCCAAAATGGAGTCAACATGTCAGTTCAAATGATTGGGCCAGAACCAGTCCAGTACAAGTGTGGGTTTGCAAAACCCTAACATACTCAAGCATCAGCGCCGCAAGGCATGGAGACAGTCAGTCAACGGCGTCGCACAACCAAACAGTCAGGGGCGAAACGGTCGGCCGAAGATCCCGGGACTGACCCATCCTGGGAAACCGGCCACAACAACAATGACCCCCTTTTTGGGACTCACAACGGCCGGTGGGTATTATAAAATCCCAACGACACAACACGGCATGGGGAGAGGACGGAACGCCAAACCAGTCGAGAGGACTTACAGAGAGAAACCATCAACCACGATCTACACAGGAAACAACCACCAAAGCCTCAAAAAGGCACAACCACAACATCATCGAGAGGTAAAACCACCACGACAGTACCATCAACGGTACCAAGATCGACCAACACAGATCAAAAACCAGAGAACATAACCAAGAGCCAAAACACCATCATCAAACCGAATCATCGAAACCACAAAACCATCATAATACCCACTGTCGAACCCAAAAGCCAGGCAAATCAACGAAGCACAAAGACTAAACGACGAGAACAGAAGCGGAAAGGTCGCCGGAAAGGTAAAAGGCCGAGACTTTTGGTTTAGATCTACTCCGATCGATGGGGTTTTTGGGGATTTTAGGCTTGGATTCGTGTTTACGGGGTTAAAGGGAACATTTTGCGACGGCCGGGGCGACGGACGACGGTTCAACCCCCGAAGTAGTTTTGATCATCTCCTCCGGTGAGGAGATGTAGAGAGAGACGAGAGAGAAGTCCTCTGTGGAGAGAGAGAGGAAAATCATAAATGAGAGATATGAAGGGGAAAAGAGTGTTTTCGGGTATTTATATACCAGGGGTCTATGTGCAATTAGGGGATTTTTTTTATTCTCTTTGCAGTCCCTGGTAGTTTAAATCGCATTACAATCTGGTCATCACTTGTAATTTTGTCTCTGGATTCTCAATTCATTCAAATTGGTCACATTTTACACTTTTTATATTTTGTGAATTAACCCCCTAATTTTGTTTATTTTTTATTACAATTCACTTTTAAAATTCATTTCAGTCCACAAGTTTCAAGCTCATTCAATTTGATCCTTTTTTTGGTTTTTCATTATTTTTTATTTTATTTCGTATTATTTTATTTTTATTCAATTTGATCCTTTTTTTTATTTATCCTTTGTTTTCATTTATTTTATTTTTGCTCTTATATTTGTTTAACTCATTTTTTTGTTCTCTTTAATCTTTATTTATTTATTTATTCTCTTTCTTTGACTTTTTATTTATATTTATATATTTATTTATTTAACATTTATTTATTGTTATTGTTTTTATTTTATTTTTTTTACTAACATTTTTGACTTTGTAGAGAAATTTTCAACCGATCAAAGGTAAGTAATTTGAATCGAATATTTTAAATTTAAATTTAAATTTAAATTTTCAATTTTAACAATTAAAGACAACCGGTAAATTAATTGGTACCGAAAGGGCGGTTCAAGGGTGCTAATCCTTCCTTGACCGTAACCTACTCCCGAACCCGACACGTTTCTGGTACAACGCAGATAAGGTAAGATGGTGTCCGACACACCTAAATTCGTTTTAAAATGGTCGGTGGCGACTCTAACCCATTTAATCCAAGTCGAAGCCCAATTTCGGGGAGCACCGAAAGACGGTTCCGACAAATATAACCAAATTTTATAAGAATAATGCAAAAATAACTAAAATATAACAATGTAATATAAAGAAAATATAAAAGTATAAATACTTAAGAATGTAAGTAATGTATTTATACGAGTCTTGGGTGAGTAAAATCGATAAATGAGCTTTAACGTGAAATATAATATTATATCTTTTTTATTTGAGTTAATTGTCTAGAAGGTTCTTAAACTATAATTATATTTTAAACTAATACTTAAACTTTAAAATATTCTATTTTAGTCCTCTAGTTATCAATATCATTCAAATCAAGTCTTCTCTGTCATCTCCCATTACTTTTTCCTTTGTGAAAAATGTTTTAAAAAGAAAGAAAGAAAAAAGATCAAATATACGGATGTACAGTGTACAAGCAAAATTTTATTGTCAACTTTAAGATTATTGTTGTATATTTGTGAATATATTTCCATCGTATTGGTCCTATACAGTTCGTATGATTCATCTTGCATGGAATTCTGAAATATAAAACTCCAATCACATTATGCACATTAAGATTCTCATTAAATGATAAATCAAATTAACTTACAACGTAAATAAAGGGAAACAGGGTAGTGAGCTGCTGCTCTACATGAAAACTAGTGAGCTTCAAATATGGTAGTCTGATATGGAGCAGAAAGTGAAGGACTGATATTTGGTTGATTAAGCTGCGTTTCATGTCAATAAATATATCAGTATTAGTTATCTAATTCCTTTCTGGAATAGGTGGAAAAGGGGGCAGTGGAAGGGATGGGAGAGGGGGGAGTGGAGGTAATGGAGGCAGATTTGGAAGCAACGGAGGAGGCTGTGGTGGTGCAAGTGGAGGTGGAAATACGGGATAGTTCGGCTGCCCAAATTCCATGGTGCTTTTGGTGTTGGATTCCTTGGAATCTGCAGCACTTGGTTTCTTGTTGCAAAGATTTGGTTGTTCCAGTGGCTTGAAACTGAGAAACCCGGCTGAGAAAGTCTGGGTTCCTTGGTTTGTTGACTTGAGATTGAGTGACGATGAAGTTGCAGATGGGGCAGCTGCACAGTATGGCTCACTGCTTCTCACAAGTTTCACCGAACATCTCTTGATTTTCTTCACACGTTTGGGAACCGAGAATGGCAAACGAAACTTGAATTCTCCATGCTCATTGGTCTTCGTTTCTTGTCGAAAACTCGGCATCAAATCCCCATCCTTGCATTCAACTGCAACTGATGCACCTGCACAAACAAAATCCCAGAAAAACAGAACACGTGAGTAATAAATATCAGCCTAAACAGATCAAAATGCAAGTCCTGGAAGGAAAATCACAAGTAGTAAAACAGCTGACCAGAAATGAAGTTATGGGCCCTTGAGAAATCTTCGTGGGAACAAATATCACAGTAAACATTTCCAGAAACAACAGCAGAATGTAGCTGAAGGCCATAGCTAGCCTCTGATAGATTATTGGTTGTTAAACTAAGAAACAATATCAAGGAAAACCAAGTCATTTTCATATTTCAAATACCTCTTTTTCTTTGTTCTGATTTAGTTCCCTTGGATCAACTTTTATAGTGTAACTTATCATCCTTCTTTACATCATTCATGCAAAAACCAGTGAACTGTAAAGTGCAGACTATCAAAAGGAATGCATGATTTGGAATTGGCGGTTCGAAGGTAGTAAATATTTTATGGTGGGGAATCACAGTTTTAATTATGGAATTGGTTCCTTTGAATTTGATGTTATAAATTCAACAATATTGGATGGTTGGAGTGGTTCCTGCTTTGATCACGAGCTGCACACAGCAGCCATAGATTTCCTGTGCCAACGCCATGAGAAATACGAGGAATTATTCATGGAAATGCAGCTATTTTTTGCTCTGTTCATGTTCATCACATTTCAACCTACTTTTTGCTAAAAGGGGACAAGTCCAATATTGATAATTTCTTAATATTCGAATTATTATACCCAAATAACCAATTTAAATAATAATATTAATCAAATATTTGAATAAATTATATGATAAATATAGCAATTTCGTGTTACAAAATTAGACATCTAAATAATCCCAACCAAAATCAAAATAAATCTAAATATCGAATATGCCAACAAGGATTATGAATCATTGCTGAAAAGCAAAGATATATTCAAAGCAGATTCCGTATCACAAATTGGCGAAACTCTCTTTACAGCACAAGCTCGAGTTTTTACAGCGTTTTCTTCTGGGAAATTCAAGCCATACTACTACTACTACGTACGCGTACAGAGGGGTTTAGGGCAAAAAGTGAGTGTTCCCCAACAATCGAACAAAGCTTCACAAAACTTCCTTGTCATAAAATGCAAGAAGTTGCTTTACATGAGAATGCCAAGCTCCAACGTTTTGTCTATCAACTGTAACCCAATCAACAACGGTTGATGCCGGTTGCTCCCACCACTCGTCCAGCTGCGCCACAATGTTAAGTCCCGAGGAGTTATATGATGAAGGCAAAAATATGGTATTCTTGGCAATAAAATGTTGATGTTTCCATATAAACTTATCCTCCTATGTGTCTGACACGAGATATGTTCAATTATTTTATTTTTCCAACTTTTTTACAGTATTAATATTCAAATAGGTTGCATGTGAAACTGAAGAAAACAGTAGAATACACATGCACATAGCAAGAGATGCAATGATATGGCCGGCAAAATGATAATGCCGTTACTTACCAAACCCCTCACGTATTTGCCGTCCTCCAAGCACTTCTGAGCATTCAAAACTGCAGATCTAAGTTCGGGTAGCCATTTCTCTGTGACAATCTTATCTTGCTCAGCAGCCAAATTCAAACAATAATTTGTTGTCCTGTATAACACACAATAAACAACAATAATAATAAGAAAATCGTATAAGACTCCATATATGCCTACGAAAGGATAGCCAAATCGATTTCAGACGAAGCACTGTCTACTTATACAAAGAGAGGAGAGAGATAAACAGATGACTTCTATATAATTGTAACTTCCAGAAAGACGTAAGACAGTAATTCATTACCTTGCATATTCTTGTTGAACACGGTAAGCATGGTTCAATAGTGAATGACCACTTTCAACAAGATCTTGTCGAATATGGACCAAATTTATAGCCTTTGCCAATTCCTCCAAGACACTAGCCTCAGAACCACGAAGCTTCAAACAGGACTCTAGAGACTCTAACACTGATGCCAAACCAGCATCAGAACCGTCTAAACCTAATCATACAATGTCATTAGATAGAAAACAATTATAACTGAAAGAAAGAAAAAAAGACATTTTTTTATAAGGGAGGACTCATTAAAAAACCCCTTCATAACCGTCAAAATACAAGAGTATCTCGAGGGACATTGGAAGGAGGAAAAGAGTACCTCAAAATTTTATTACCAATCAACAATTCCGCAAAGTACAACAAGTCCTACAAAAACATAACAACCTTAACAAGAAAACTACCTCCAAATAAACCAGAAAACAGAACACAACCTTAACCAATTCCTAACTTAGCTAATTCATCTGCCTCACAGTTCGCACATCTCTGGATATGCCTTACAATGACATTCCTATCTACTACAATAGACACAATTTCCTTCACCAACGAATTAAACAAAGCAGAACATGAACCCGGATTTCTAACCCAGTCTAAGGCTTAGGTACAATCACTCTCCAAAATAAGACATTTAAATGGGCTTTAAGATCATTCAAATCCTCAACCAAGCAAATAAATCAAACTTCTGAGTATCAGAAGGTGATGTGAAAGGAGAAATCTTCGGATAATAAAACAAATAAATTCTTTTTCTTTTGGTACAAACCAAAAATGAAGTTAGTTAACAATTTATTCAACCTCCACTGACAATCAAACATCCCCCATCAGTGTAACGCATCAATTCAAAATCACAACCAGTGCTGCTATGAATCTAGTCAGCTTCATTGGAGAATAAAACTAACCAGCAGGGTATTGAAGAGCAGCGGAAACACGGCATATGGATGGAATTGCTGATGGATCCCTGGAACCAGCCCTTGCAGTCAACAAGGCAGCATTCTTCTCTGCAGCAGCCATAGCTTCAGGTCCTGTAGATCCATTAGCACCCATGGACTCTAGAAGAGCCTGAAGTTGAAGAAATGAAAAAAAAAAAATAGAGGCATGTAAATGGAATTCACAATTTATTAAAATAAGATGAAGAATCCGATTTCATTTAAACTAAATTTGTACCAGAGCAAACATAAAACAGAAATATGGAATGAATACACATAAAGGACTTCCATTTGAGTTAAGAAAACACGCAAAAAATTTAAGGGATGCAGGAATAATAATAACATGATGCAAGCAAAGAAGAGTCTGAAGTTTAACGTCAAGCCTGCAAAGAAATCCTCTAGGAGCTCGAAATATTACTCTGACGCTTTATTTTTCTTTGAGTAACCAAGTCAAAACACTTTTTTGGATATAAGTATGAAGATAGGACCCTCCAAATTCTTGGAAAAAATTTGACAAACTCATATCGAGCACATGTATCTGACACTCAACACCCGAGTTGGAGTAACATAAGCTCAAAGAATTTTATTTTAAAAAATTCACATCTAAAGAACATATATTGTTGAAAAGGATAAACAATTCATGATAATTCAGTTGATTAGATTGAACCATTTTGATAATTTTCTAACTTCTGTGTTTATCTTTGTACTTATCAAGTACTTATCTTATACTCCTGGCCTATCTAAAATAGTTATCATGTATTTATCTCCAAGTTTTAATCCATCTAAAAGTTGTACACCTTAACACTTTGTACCTATACATACCAAATGAATACAGCATGACTGTGAGTGTTTGATTTGTAAGATTAGCTATCTTACCAAATCTTTAAGATATATAGCTGCATAAAATGGTAGGGTTTAAAAACTAAGAGCCCCCTTAACTCAAAACATACAAAAGTTCTAAGAAAAAACAGATCAAATAGGATAATATCTACATAGTTAAAATCCAATGAGACAACTGCCCACTAGTTTATGTCAAGTTACATGCAATTGATCAAGAAAAATAAGATTAGGTCAAATAATAATGATAGGTGATAACTGATAACTTAGAATATTTTTTCCAGCACCAGAACCACCTATCGAGACTATGGTCTCATTAAGAATGGGAACCCAATCTGTCATGCCATATTGCATCCAAGATAAAATAAGCAAACTATTCAGGGGAAAAAGACTACTTACTGTATAACTCACTAATTTATTTTTATTGAGTTTATAATTGAAAGAACATAAGTGCACTGTCCTACAAACCTGTGGGGTTGATGGAAGCATGTAGAGGCTATTATCAGGACTTCTATAAAATGCAGAAACTTCTTTAACAATATTATCTTTTGCACTATTTGAAATGTCTGCAACAACATTGCAAACTGGAATAATGGTGCTGGAAGCATACTCCGTCGCAGCCAATGGCTGTTGGTTCCAGAATGCAGCTGCATCCTTTAAAACAAAAGAAATAAGAATGAATCCTGTTAGATATTTGAGTAGGAACTTCACGTATGCTAAAAGTCAAGACTGAACTCTTTAAAGTGACAAATCATCTATAACAAGAAAACAAACAAAATAAGTCGACTATTTATATACATTGTTATAAAACATTAATGATATTTGCTTACGCTGTTGTTACCAACTATATCATCTAATTGGAGATATACATGATTATTACAACACTATTAGTCTATTACAGCACTTATCATCCTAGGTATCCAGTATAACATCCAAGTCCTTTTTTGAACTCTGTGTCTTCTTGAAAAGCTGGATACAAATAAGCAATAACAAGATATATTCTCCAATATTTTGGAACACAAGCAAATGAAACAAGATATATGTATAGAGAATCATCGTTGGACAAAAGAAGAAAAGATTACTGTAATTAAAAGATACATAAAGAGAACATGGGTATCTATATCTTTTCTTAAAAATAACAGAAGTAACCCAAGATAACATGGATAGAGGAAAGAAAGAATGTTATTAACCTATAATTGAAAAGGTTCAACCACATTACAAAGCGTAAGTTACTAAAAGTAATAATTGGTATCTAACAGCATCATAGATGCACCACCACCATATTCCTACTGCTGATTTTTACAATGAAAATGAAGAACGGAATACCTTACCATATTAGCCTTCAAAAGAGCAGTATATATGGTTTCAAGTTCAGATCTACGAGAGTCAAACTCTTCAATCTTCTTCCACTTCTTTCTTAATGAATCTTCAGCTTCTTTCCTCTCTGCACACAATTTATCCAACCGCTGTATTTCAGACATTAATGTATTTAAGCTTGCCTTTAACCCAGCGGCCTCCCTCTCCTTGGCCCAAAACTCTAACTGAAAGAGAAAATTAAACATACAATGCAGCATGGGTAAATAAACATCAAGATG